GAATCCCCTCCTTTAGCATCGACGTCCCGTCGATGCTCCGTTCGAAGGTCTAGTATCATGGTAGGTCCTTTGCTGCGTCGGTATCTTTTGCTGATCTTAGGTGGCATGAATCCTCTATAGCTGCTCTTGCGCTTGGTTCCTGGGAATTCTGGTTTCTCGGGGGTTTTCAAAGGTTTTTCAAAGGATTCTTCTTGGTTTTTCTCTGGTATCTCTGGTATCTCTGGTTCTGGGATTTCTGGTGATTCTGAACGCGGATTTTTCGGCTGGACTTCTTCTTCTGGGTTGGGGATTTGATCACTGGTTACCTGCTCCGGTGAGTTCTCGATGGTTGAACTGAAATTTCCCATGGCTTTCTGGGCTTGAGCCAGCTCGGTTTGCAGCCTCCAGATTTCGTTGTACAGGCTGATATAGATGGGTTCTGGTGTCTGGATGTCAAGAAGATCTGATGCTGAGAATAAATTTTGGGTGACGTCTGGGTACTGGAGAACCCTGATTGGTTCGCTTATTTCTTCTGGGTTGTACTGGAATAATGAGGTGGGGTCGAGTATGTCAGGAGGAGGGACCGGGTCGATCAGGATGGGATTTATGAAAGTCGTTGAGTAGTTCCTGAGCATGAGTAATATCGGATGCTGGTTGCCAGGTGGGTTCGTTCCAACCTTTCCACTGAAGGAGGTACTGAAGTTTTCGGTAGTGTATTCGCGAATCTAGGATTTTCTCGACTTCGTATTCTTCTTCGTTGTCAACGGTGACTGGTGGGAGTCGTTCTTCGTGGTTTTGGCTAGGGAAAGCGTTATCTGGTGCTGGGTGCAGCAGGTTGGTGTGAAAGACGGGGTGAATTCTCATTGAGGGGGGAAGCTTCAGCTTATATGCTCTTTTTCCTACGGACTTAAGGATCTGAAATGGACCCTCCATCTTATTGGACAGTTTTGGGCAGGGTCGTGCCGTTTTGATGTTCCGCATATCTAGCCAGACATGGTCTCCTTCCTTGTAGTCAGGTGATGGCCGTCTGCGCTTGTTTGCTTGTTCTTGTTGTATCTGTGCGGCGCGATTGATTTCCATACGCAGGACTTCTTGTAATTCTGACATTTGCTGTACAAACCCTGCGGCCTCTTGGTTTCTAGAGGGTTTTCTGAGTCCTTGGAATTCAAAGGTGTCCGGGTTCCATCCATAGTTTGCAGCGAATGGGGAGATTCCAGTGGTGTCGGATATCTTGTTATTGTAGGAATATTCAGCTAGGGGTAGCCATTCAACCCAGTCGTCCTGTTGATAATTGACGTAAGCTCTAAGGTATTGTTCTACTATGGAATTGATTCGTTCGGTTTGTCCGTCGGTCTGGGGGTGATAGGCAGTGCTGGGTCGGTGGTGGATCCTCAAGCGATTATTGACTTCATCCCAGAATTCGTCTAGGAAGTTCTTTCCTCTGTCTGAAATGGCTTCTTTGGGTAATCCGTGTAATTTCCATATGTCCCTGAGGAATAGTCCGGCTAATTCTCTGGCGTTGAGTTTCTTCGTTGTCGGGGTCAGATGTATCATCTTGGAGAGTCTATCCACGGTGACAAGGATTGCGTCGTGTCCATTGGATTCCGGTAATCCGGTGATCAGGTCAAAAGAGATGCTTTGCCAGTTTCTTTCTGCGATCTGTAATGATTGCAGTAATCCTTGGGGTGCATTCCTGGGCGCCTTGGTTCGTTTGCAGATGTGGCAGTTGTCGACATAACGATCAACATCCTTCCGAAGCCCTACCCATGTATATTGTCTTTGAACCAGTTCTAGCGTCTTTGCTCTCCCTGGGTGTCCTGCTGTAGGGTGGTCATGGTGTTGCTGCAAGATTTCCTCGCGGATCTTTTCATTGTCGGGTACTACTTTTCTGTCATTATGGTAGAGTTCGCCTTGTTCTTCTTTCATCTCTGATATTTCAACTTTGGGATGCCGTTTGTCTCCTCTTCTGAGGGTTTTTATGATGTCTTGGATGTAGGAATCTTCAAGGGCTGCTGCTTGCCAGGTTTCTTGCGTTGTCATGATACCAATTTGTTGGATTTTTTCAGGCGGTAGCAATATTCTAATTCGATTTTTTATGCGCTCATCCTCCTCTCCCTGAGGGAGGTCCCTCGACCTTCTGGTTAATGCGTCGGCCTTGGTGTTGGTTTTTCCGGGAACGAAGGTTATTTTGAAGTCGAACCGAGATAGGAACTCCATCCATCCTACTTGTCTTTGTCTAAGGTGCTGTTTGGTCATGAAATATTCCAAGTTCTTGTGGTCTGTGAGGATGTGTACTTGAGTGTGGACACTCATCAGGTATCGTTCCCATTCTTTAAATGCTTGAATTACTGATAGGAGTTCTTTGTCATGGATATCATAGTTATGTTCCGCCGGTGTCATCTTTTTGGACCTGTAGGCTACAGGGTGCCAGAGACCGTCATCATGCTTTTGAGAAAGGACTGCGGCGCAGACAAAGTTTGAAGCGTCGGTTTCCATTCGTGTTTCCAGTGCAGGATTCCAGTGTTTCAGTATTGGTTCGGTGCAGAATGCTCGTTGGAGTGTCTGAAAGGCGTTCTTTTCCTCTTTTCCCCAGTGGAATATTCTATCCTTCTTGGTTAAGTCGTAGAGAGGTTTGGCTATTTTTGCATAGTCTTTGATGAATCGTCGATAAAAGTTCGCAAATCCTAGGAAAGATTGTACTTCTTTGACAGCTCCAGGTCCTTCTTTCGGTTCTTCCCAGTCGAGTATGTCTTGAATCTTAGCAGGGTCCATCCTGATTCCATTGCTTCCAACGATGTATCCTAGGAACTCGGTTTCTTTGGTGAAGAATTCGCATTTAGAGAGTTTGATATAGAGTCCTGCTTTCTGTAGTGCTTTGATGACTTTCCTCACATGGCGAATGTGTTCTTCTCTTGAATCGCTGTAAATGCAGATATCATCGAGGTATACTACACAGAATTCGTCTAGGAAGGGTCGTAAGGCTTCGTTAATGTAGGCTTGGAAGGCAGCTGGGGCGTTTGTTAATCCAAAATGTACTACTTGGAACTCGAAGTGTCCATATCTGGTGCGGAAGGCTGTTTTTTCTTCGTCTCCATCAGCTATTCTGATGCGATTGTAGGCGCCATAGATATCCAGTCGAGTGAAGTGCTTGGCTTTTCTGAGCCGATCCAGGGTCTCATCGATTCGTGGCAAGGGGCATCGATCTTTGACGGTGATGGCATTGAGTTTTCTCCAATCCACGCAGAGTCGTAGTCCGCCATCTTTCTTAGGAACGAATAAGATGGGTGCTCCCCATGGGCTGTTGGACCTTCGAATGAATCCTTTAGTCATATTTTCTTCTATCCAGGGTTTGAGGACTTTGAGGTGTTCTTCGCTCATTGGTCTTAATGGTTCCCAGATGGGCTGAGCTTCTGGTGGTATAGGGATTTTCATGTCTTCTTTTCGTCGTGGTGGCAGGGTGTCTCCTTTCTTTTTCGAGAAAGCTTCGGCAAGATCTTGGAATTCATTAGGAAGTTTGGTGGTTTCTTCGATTTCGATTGTGTCATCGACAAATGTGACTTGTTTCCATTTTCTTCCCAGGCCGTAGATAGCAAAGACAGGTCCTTGTTTCATGGTTCTCTTGAAGGCTTCCGCGCTTACAATGGTGATCTTGGGTGAGCAGTTCATGTGTACTTGATTATTTTCCCAATCGACATGGACTTTATGCTTTTTATGCCATGGCTTTCCCAGGTTCAAAGGTTTGGTGGTGTTGACAATGTCGGCATTGACGATCTCTTCATGGTCTTGGATTTTCATTTTGAACTGAGTCATTTCCTTAACGGATTCTCTGGTTCCATTGAAGTATTCTACGGATTCAGGGATCTTCTTAGGATAGAGTGGAAAATCATTCTCAATTGCAAATTTGCGACTCATGTGTATTCCTGTGTCGCCGCTATCCAGACATGCAAGGGTTTTAACAGGTTTCTGAGGATGGGGGTACAAGATGACAGGGATTTCAGTATGGGGTTCAAATGGTGTTTCAGTTTCTTCAGGGTTTAAACAGGAAAATGGATTCTGGGATACAAAGGAAATTCGTGGTATTCTTCGAGGCTGGGGAATTCTCGAAGTGACAGGTCGGGTCCTGCCTTGCTGTGTGTCACAACTCACAGTTAGGCCTGCTCTTTTCCCTGTTCCTCCTTGGCGTCTTCTTGTGGGTGGTACCCCAAAAGGGATGCCATCTCGTTTTGGATGTCCTCATGGGTGAGTCCTCGGATGTTCTGGTCTCTGGTGAGACGGGGGTCGTAGGGGACACGTCGGGTTGGTCCTCCCTGGGACCTTTTGTTTGGACAATTGTTAGCGAAATGTCCTCCTTCTCCACAGTACAGGCATAGCTTCTGAGCTCGACGTCGGTCTTTTTCTTCCTGGGTTAGTCGTCCTCGAATGTTTCCGGTGGACTGATCCATAGGTCCAGGTCCGAAATAATTATTTCCCCAGGTTTGCTGAGGCTGACCAGTATTGCCGGTCCTTGTTGGTCCTTTTGGTGCTGGGGTCGGGGTATTCTTCTTTTGGAATCCTCCAGTCGTTAGGTTTCGAGATTTCTTTTTTGCATCCAAGGTTCGCCAGTTATTGTCAAGGCGTTGACAGAGAATAACAAAATCATCGAAGTCTTCAGGGAGCGTTTCCTTGGTAATCAGGAGTTCTTCTATTTCGATGCATAAACCATGTCGTAGGTAAGCGATTTGGGCGGCATCATCGTAGTTCAGGCGTCCCATGAGACGTCTGAATTCTGTCAAGTAGGTGGAGAAGGGTTTATTGGCCTGTCTTAGGTTTCTCAATTCTCGTTCTGCGGTTCCAGCAGGGTCAGGATCTCCGAAGGCTTTTTCGAGCCATGTGGTGAACTCGGCGTAGGTATCCCAGTTCCATGCTTTATCATCGGTGTCATACTCATTGAAGGCTAATTCTGCTGGGTTTCCTTTGAGAAGACTGACGGCGTACGCAATCTTCTTTCTGGATGTAGCGAATTTGGTGGCTTCTCCTTCGTATTTATTATTGAGCTGGGCCAAGAAATTGCGTAATTCATGGGGCTTAGTGCCGTCGAAGGGGTCGGGATCTGGAAATTTGATGCTTGGGACAGCCGCCGGGGCTGCTGTGGGCATGCTGTTTCTGAAATGTTCAAAGACTGCCATCATGGCTTTGGTTTGTTCAATGGTAAATCCTGGTAGGGCGACGACCGCAGTTTCTCCTTCGGCGTCTTTTCCCTTGGAGGACTCGCTTTTTGGTGGAGCCGGTGCTGACATTTGGGTATTAGGTTGATAGGGTTGCGAAGCAACAAAGTGTAAGAAAT